ACAATAAAATGCCAAAAAACTACTTAGATAGAGCAAAATACTTACTTTTGGATGCCAAAAATTTTGACTCGATGTACCGCCGCCTGTTATCACTAGCCAACTGTCAAATGTTTGTGGGTGGCGGGAAATCAGTGCTGCCACCTTAAAATAAGATCACCCACCAAATTCGTTCCTAAACCACCGAAATAATGCAAGTGGCTCTTTCAAAACCTGGCTCTTTCATGCCACTTCTCCCCTACTACGCTCCTATACACTGCCGTTACCTTCCTACCTACACAATTTACACCTAAGACCTGCAAGAATGCCATCTCGGAAGCAGATGTTTCATCACATCAGAATCAACCATTGATAGCTAAATCATGATGACGTTTAGGCAACACGTACAGATACGGAACGAGTACACAACAAGTGTAGATCTTGTACAAAAACCTACATAATTTCACAAAAAAACATAAACACACACAAAAGAACAAGTTACTAGTACCCCTACTGCTACTAATATATACTAAATGACATATAAATCCGAACACCCAGTTTAAATGGTTTTATTTTAATAAAATTTTGTATAAGTACTTAATGAAGCATAATAAGTAAATGATAAAAATTTCAAAATGATTGCACTGCTTTAAAGCCCTTTGACCTTTAATAATGTGTGGATGCACCCTGATGTGCTACGCATTCTCCAACGCGCCTAGGCATGCTTCCGATCAGGTGGTCAATGTCCTCCTGAGGTATCTCATTCCAGGCAACCACCAACTCCTCTCGAAGTGCTTCTAGAGTCTGAGGAGGACGTTGCAAATTGAGCAATCTCCTACCCATCATATCCCACACGTGCTCAATTGGGGATAAGTCGGGAAATCTTGGTGACCATGGTAACAATGTGACATCATTACGTTGAAAGAAGTCTATTGTGACTCTTACAACATGTGGTCGGGCATTATCTTGTTGGAAAGTTGGATCTGCCAGGGTGCCAAGATAGGGTAAAAGGTGGGGTTCTAGAACTTCGTGGATATAACGCTGCGCGTTCATGTTACCTCTGATGAAGATTAAAGGTGACCTTGAACCATAAGCTATAGCACCCCAAACCATAACTCCAACAGTGTGATGAACATGTCTTTTAACAAAAAACTGTGGATTCCTCCTTTCACCACGTCGCCTTCTAACCCTGGCACGACCATCGTGCATGCCTAAACAAAATCGAGACTCGTCACTAAAGACAATACTGTTCCATTCCTGATCCCAGAGTGACCGTTGTCTGCACCACTCAAGGCGATTACGTCGGTGTTCTCGAGTTAAAGGGAGGACCCAGTGTGGCCGGTATGAAAACAAGCCAAAACTTCGCATGCCAATAGGTCTTCCGTGTTCTGCAAACCATTCATTTGCAATGGACCTGGTAGTGGAGAAACGGTCCCTTAAGGCCAATAATCTTAGGCGGCGATCTTCACGGTCTGTTGTTCTACGGCGGCGTCCAGTGCCCCTTGCTCACCTAACCACAGTGTCTACACTTCTTTGCACTCTAACTGCAATTGCCCGAAAAGAAAGTCCAGCTTCCCGAAGTCCCAGTATACGGCCCCTATCATACTCACTAAGTTGACGAAATCGTACAGGTCTCCGTACTCTAGGCATCGTAACCGATCGTAAAGGATGTCAAGAACCAAAATCCGCCAACGTTGATTCTTTACTGCGGCTGAAATATTCATTTTTAGAGCGTTAGTGAATTAAAAAAAAAACAGTATAAAAACAGGAATGTCCAACTGATAAGGCTGAAAATTTTTTCACTTGTTATTTACAGTAAGATAAATACATTCACCAACTTTTATTAAAATAAAACCATTTAAACTGTGTGTTCGGATTTATATGACACGTATAGTAACAATAAATTGTCTCTATTTAGAGCGAAGCCACTTAACTCTTAACAAAAATAAATTGACGCGGGACCTCGGTTGGCCGCGTGGGTCAGAGTGTCGTGCTACTGATCAGCCGGCCGGCCGGGCCGCGAGTTCGAATCTCGCCTTCGCCATGGATGTTGTGTGTTTGTTTTAGGCAGCAGCGGTGGCCGCAGTAGTAGACTCTTCGGTCTCCTGATCAGTCGCCGTGCGCTGTGCGGGTTCGATTCCCGTCCCAGGAGAAATGTTTCTCTTGGCCATGGATGTTGTGATTGTCCGTAGGTGGTAGATGGTCTCTGACTGTCGAACGCGGAGGTACCACCCGGCGGTTCTCGTAGGCGGAGCCAGAATGTGTGCATGTTGCATGCACACGCGTTCCCTCGCCAAAGTCCGTGTGGCGTCCCCCCTTTCCCATGTATCCCCCATAGCCCCACGGTACCCAATGGGTGCTTAGGTCTTAGGCCTTCGTGGTAGTTGGAGTATAAAAAAAAAAAAATATAAATACGATAAAATGTGTAAATTATAGTACTAAATGGTAGTATTATATAAATATTACATAAATCCACCTATGATATTAAAATTATGTTTCAAAAGGACATGAATAGTTCATGTTCATCATTTAGAAAATTGAGGTGTCTTTGAATTTGTTGTTCAAAAATGATTTTCTTCTTCGTAGGCGGTAGTAATGGCATCATAAGCGAAGCACTTATGGAAGAATAATGTCTTGTGAAGTGGCATGGTTAACGTATTCACAAAGCCAATATTTCTTGAGTTGGTATACCCACGAAATATTGGTTTGTCCTGAAAGAAAATGTCCGTCGCGAAGTACGAAAATTGAGCCTTAACGCATTATGCAAAATCCGATGGACAGATTACAGGGTGCCTCCAGTAAAGCCGAGGAAATCTAGATAACGTAATAATCAAGAAATGACAATCGCGTAATTTATTTTCAATTAGAAACACTTTTTTATAATATGGATTTTTGTAATAAGAAAATCTTAAACCTTCTATGGGACATCCTGTGTAAACAGTCACGATAGCAATGTCATAGGTGATACGAAGCGTGGATTTGTGAGTCCGGCGTCGTGTGAGACCAAATAAATCACAATATTCTGGGTCACATTTCATTGTTTCATACTTATCCTATGTGAACTTTACTATAATTCCCTGATGCCTTTGCGTCAGTGCACGGATAGCTTGAAGGGGTTGATTTATGATTCACTTGGAGCCCTGTTACCTCCTCATATTCATCATTTCCTTAATTTCCTATAACATCCCGTTCCGTCTAGATGTGGGGCATGCCTCTTCGGGATGACATTCGTCCTTTAAACAATGATCAGTTGTAATTTAGTTTCACGTCTTTTATGCCGATTTGACGTTTGAATATGTGCGATTTTAAGTGTGTAGGATGAATTAGATGTGAATGTCAAATGCTTGAACAATCATCAACAAAAATGTTGTATGTTGTTCTTTGCTGGGGATCCATCGAGAGTGATAGCGTTGCCGTTATAAGATCATTGTAGATAGTAATAACCATGAGTAGCATCGTATTTTGCGCTGTTCAGAAGTTCAGAAGAAAGAAAGTCCGTTGGTATATTGATAGAGGAGAACCAGATTATTGTCCGCCCGGCGATGTGAGTGATGTTTGAAACCTCCTTAAAGGGAACTGCCCTCGATCAGTGGGATAATCCCCCTTCAAACAGCAAACAAATACAGACAAGGTCGAAGCGGCAGCACTGTAGCGATATGAACAGTAACCCAAGCTGGGTATTGTCTAGTCCCAGTAACGGAGGTATGTCCGCGGCAAATCATGACTGATCTGATCTGCGACGAGCTGAGGCGTATGGTTTGATAGTAAATTATGACCATCAGCCGAAACCAAATGCAATAAAAAGAATTTATAGCGTTCCCAGGCCGATACTTCCGAGTAACATACAGACTGTATACAGGCAGCGCGTAGCTGAGTGGGTATTAGTGCATCTGGTGCGCATGCCGTCGGTTCCGCGAAGGTTTCTAAGGTAGTGTTAAGCTTCAGCACTTTCGTCAAAGAGTATGGCTTCACCAGTCTTATTCTCGTCAAGTTGAACCGCAAATATCTGTTGACACCTTTAGTGCCTTCATGCAAAGCGCTGTCAAGCGCAAGTTTGTATTGGAAAAAATTAGGTTTTGCAACAGAGTGAGCGTTGGACCCAAAAGCAATCCCTAGAAAATATCCGTCCTGACTTTGTCGGATGAAAAGTGAGATAAATCAATCACGATGGTTATCTATTGTTGGAAAGGAAATGGACCACTTAACTGTGAAACTTCACTGGAAGGCCTATGACAGCAGTTTGCGCAGAAGTGTAGCATTTTGTACCTGATAAGAGGCTCCCATAATATCAAGAGCCGTAGCATGTACCCTAAAAAATATTGTGGTGCACCTCTTCATCACCTTGCTCAGCACGGATAGGCTATATGCCTGTAGTTATCAATAGGAAAGCTCCGAGCAATCCGTTTCCTGATTGAATTAAGGCAAAATCACAAAAAATGGCGAAGGTTACAACATATCTTTGTCAGTATCAGATGCCTGACTTGAATGATGTTTACTTCCTACACCACTGGCAAGGAAGTATTGTAATCGCGAAAAACGGGTTATTATGTTGTCTGGACGTTGTAGGTATTACATCTCGGTTATGAAAAACCATGTCTCTTGTTTTCGTCAGTTTGTCTTCGGTCTGCCTGTCCTCTAATTCTTGGTCCGTCTAGAACTTAGGAAGTACCGCTCGGATTTTGATGACATTATCACGCAATGTTACTACCAACGACGATAAATGACATAGACCTTTCTATTTACACTAAAACTTATTGAAACCATAAATATTAGGTAATTGCAATGTTGCCATACACTCGCTGGTAGAACTGGTAAACTGGTAGTAAACAAACCTAAAACAAACATTTAATCACAAAAACCAGCTGTTTGGACTCATGAAATCATAAAACTTTTAACATTCTTGAAAATCTGTATAAGCAATAGTGAAAAATAGGATAGTATGAACTTTTTTTGTATTGAACTTACCGTCAGCAGATGAAAAAGATTTCCTTGTGTCAGAGCCTTAGTCGACATCTGGAAACGTCACATTTTTCTTATGAATGGCCATTTTACTATAGTGCGTATTTTGTGTTTGAGTTGTGCATCTTTACAAATCATTATTTTTGTGCTATTTGCCCTAAGTTTGTTAGTGGTACTGAACTGTTACCTTCTGAACAATGGTGAGATCGTGTTATGTGTGCAAGATAAACAGCAATAATCCAGAATCGGCTAATTTATCATTCCATCGGTAAGTAAGGCTATGTTTACATAACATGGGCGTAGCAATCCATATCCATAAAATAGTCTTTTACCATCATTTTAGTAGCTTTGTAACTTCCTGACGCATTTATACGTATATAAATATATATGCATCGCTAGCAGTAGGATACAATTTGATGTTCTGGGTGTAGCCCATCGAGTACAAAATATCCACATAATCACAGTCTTGAAAATAAAGTAACCAAACATGAACTTTGCCATGTTTTGATTAGATCTTCATGCTAGCTAGTTTATAATCATTAGACAGATAATTGGTGAGAAGAATCAATGCTGTAAGACATGGGTTTACAATTTTAGACTCCCATCTGACCCAGCGAAGCACATAATATGGATTTCACTGCTTGGCATTGACAGGGAGAAAACGTTGCCGAAATTGACACTGATATACAGCAAACATTTTTATGACAAGGACTTCGAAAATGATATTGCTGGAAGAAAGCTTTTGAAGGATGGTGCTTACCCAGTAGATGTTCGCTCCATATATGATGAACAGAAGTATGCAAGGTAAATATATTCATTATTTTATTGAGTTTTTTTGACATGCTATTAATAGCATACAGGTACTTTCGCCCGATATATTCATATTGATTAATACTTATTTACTCAACGTATTACACATACATTAACGCTTACTGCATCAAAGGAATCAAGCTCAGAAGCCCATAGCAGTCAAGGGAGCCCTGTCTGAAAGCGGTGAGTAGAGTTCTATACTGACTTGAACTATTCTCATATAATACGTTTATACTACATATCAAAATAGATGGATTGGTACAATAAAATAAGACAGTGTCTGTGTGCTTCAAGTGTGCTTGAATAAATGTAATACGTAAAATCAAGTACATTACCACAAAATTATTGTGAAAGCTTATCTAGATAGCATCATGTGTATGTGAAAGGATTTTGGTTGTTTACATGTGTTGTCCCAGTATTTTTAAATACCTTTCATTTTAGATTGAGAATGGAAGAATTAGCTATACCACGGCCTTCTCATGTGGTGTAAGTATCCTCTTGATGTAAATTATTTTATTTACTCATGTGGAAAACATTTTAGCTCAAATCCCATTCCTTTTCCTGATGAAGCTTCTAAGATGGTAGAGCCTCTAGAAATTGAGCAATCATTCACATCATGTAGTACTGCAACAGCTTCTGAGACAACACGATTGGCAATTGGTGGAAATGAAACCATACAAAAAGTCAAACCGCCATGTAAGAGAAGGTATTTAAGTGATCAAGAACTTGGTCCTTACTAGCTATTTTGTATCAAGATTAAATAATGCTATATAATATTATTTAATGAATAAAGTATATAGTTAACACATTTATCCTTTTCAGGCTAAAACGTTATGTTGGAGATTTATCTAGCGATGACTTTTCCACTCCCAGAAAAGCAAAGTCTAATTATCAGTTGATGAAAACTTCCCTGATGAGATTGAGAAAAAAAGTAAAAAGTCTCCAAACAAGTGTTGGTGCTTTGCGGAGAAGAATAAAAACTCTAAGCGGTTTATTGAAACTTTTGAAGCAGAAGATGCACGTTACAGATTTAGCTGAAACTGTATTGAAAGTAAGCAGATTGATGAAAACTCTGTGTCCCAGATATCCGTATTTATTTGTTTGGTGCAATTGATCAACTTTTTTTCAATATAATAATTTTCATCAACTCTTAACATACCATAACTGGTCAAAATACCACTTAAAATAATCATATCATCTTATCACTTTTGCACATAAAGCTTTATTATTTTTTTCTATTAATTATAGCAGTTGATATTCTATTTTTTATTAGTATTTTGTTTATTTTGACCAATACTTGTTACAGACAGTAGACATATTGTCATCTACCACAGCAGGTCATTAGACTGGTTATGGTAGATTCAGAATTAAGTATGAGTATGTTCAGTGTCAATATCTTAGTTTCAATAAGAATATCAAATACCTCTTAGATATCCTATTTAATAGTACTATGCAAACAATATCACCACAAATTATGGGTTATTTTAATGATCACCCTTTTGAAGATGACCCTATTGATGGACACTGTATATTTTTAATAAAAATTGTTTTGAAAAAGTGTTTTTCGCTCAAAATTCACCATGAAACTGTTAAAAAATCTGATAGTTCAAGGAAAACTAGAATTAGAAGTATATATACAAAGGCAGTATTATTGCGTCATCAATAATATTATCTTTCTGTTGTAGGTTGACCAAATAGTTTTCAATTACGTAATGCTAATTTTAATTGACATTCATCTTTTAACCCTGGACTACCAGGGCTACTCATCATGTGGTTGTTACCACACGTTAATAATAATAAGCTCTTTTTAACGAGTTATAGATGTTTTTTTGCAGTATTAATCCCAATTTAGCGCAATAAGTATAAATGGCGGTGATGGAGTCACGTAACAGTGGTGATACCACTGGCACTCTAGGATTAATAAGCTATTCTGTTGATGTCTTTAATTTGTTAATGTTAATTATACTTGTCCATAATACAGTATAGTTCAATTTTTAATAAAGATATCTATATGACAATCATTTTTTTATAAACATGCTATTTTATTCTGTGATAGTATGAACAATTCATTTGAATGAGATGTTATTTCATTGCAGTATACCTCATACTCTTACATTCATTGTAATGTTTAAAATTTTTTGAAAACCCTACCAAAATAGTTTTCAAACGCGCGTTCCGACACCCCGCCCTTGATACGCCCATGCTAGTTGTCAGTTCCGTTCTCCCAGCGGCAGACATTTTTTTGTTGTTTATCTTGTCAATATTCTGAAACATATTTTATAAATGAATGTAAATGTCTATGTTTTTTGATCGTCGTTGGTTACTACTATGCCAAGGACGAAAAAGCTTTGTAGGTTTTGAAACTCGGCCCAGTGGTGGCGGATGAAAAGGCAAGAGACAAAAATAACTAAAATCCTGTCTTGTCGTTTCAGAGGATCCTGTTCATTTTCAGGAATATTGTGCAGAGGCTAAAAATTAGATGTTGGGGTGTGTCGGGTCAACCTAGTTGAATTCATTTTCTAAGTAAATGCCTACAGTCATCTCCAGAAGGATAGCGCGTTTACGGAATTTGCTTAGCTTATTTTTTTATATACAAGGTGTGGCTACAACATGTTTTGTCATAAAAAATACGGATTCCATGGAGCAGCTACTATAGCTAGATAAATTGAAACATCATTGTGGCTTTTGGCACGTTTTTTGTCTTTAATATTCCATATAAACTCTCAAAAAACAACAACAGCCACATAACAACATAAAATAATGGAACACAAGTCATCAAGTAATGTGGATAACGAGTATCCCACATTTTTACGAAGAAAATCCTTATCCACGCATGAGGATAATTTGGATTTAGTCCTTTCCAAGTCTGAATTAGTCCCGCCTCGAAATACAGCAGCTTTGATATGTGTTTATTTGGCAATTTTCTCCCAAAAGCAATTCAAAAACCTATAATGTTTAGTTTCTAAAATGTAGGTCTAAAATGTCGTTTTGAACATCTTACAAATATGGTTCCCTTTTAATATGTAAGTAGCTATGGTTTCAATTTGTGTTACCACTCACTTGACAAAATCGTTCGCTTTCAGTGTACAGTTACAAATATATGTGTAATTAATTATTAAATTGTAATTATCTACTGCGACAGCATTTTATACTTAGGTATATTACTTACTATGACAAACGTGTAAATGTTTATCATTATTATTAGATTTTTTGTATTTATCAAAGATTCAGTGGCATAATAGCTTCAAGCTAAACATTGCCCTGAACAAAAGACGTTTATCATTATTGCTATTACTGCTACTATTATTATTACTGTTATTATTATGGTAGCTGCTCAATTTCGCAGGAGATATCATACACCAAGCTACTGCCAGACGGTCAAATATTTAAAAAAATCTGAAAGCGCCATAAATACTTTAGCCTGCAATTGCTTAACAGTTTTTTTGCGGTGTGTTAACTTTTAGAAAAAGCAACCACTCATGAGAATGAACGGCTTTAAACCGCAAAAATGATCCTCATATCACTAACAGTATACCTAGAGCAAGTCACCTCACCGAGTATCCGGGCTAGTCCTCGGTACTCAGTATTCGAATTAACCGAGTACTCGGTACTCGCCAATTAGTACTGCATCCCTAGTTATCAACATTAGCCTTGGATCACTTTTTTTGGATATAGTTGAACATGCCCAAACCTCCAGTCTCAACGGGTCACGTGATATTGGCAAAATTTGTGTGTTGGGAGGCATATTCACGGTGGACTTGGCCTAGAGGATCGTTGGGACTATTCCTGTCTAACCTCCGCACGTGGATGTGACCGTTTGACCTCTGACGCAACTTCGTTACGTAATATCCTTTCTTGGCAGGACCGGCAATTTTTCTAGAACCTCTGCTGTCTCAATACCGAGCTTGGACAGGGCGACTGATCCCAGAAATGTAATATTTCACGTGTTATCGTAGAAATATCGAGATATATGTGCGATGTCGCCGGATATTTTCTGGGGCAGCCAGCCAGAGCTCGTGTGGTGGAAGATATATTCTTCTCATATGTGGAGAGGTGACGATTTCCAGGTTTAATCTCGGATATCTGCAAAAGCCGTAAAGGCAGTCTTGAGTTACGAGGATATCCAATAGAATGCATTTCAGATAGATAAAGGTTGATCCAAGTAATATCAAGTAGGTTGATTCTCCCAGATACCCCGTACTAATCTAGCGTTGTAATCATGACTTCAAAATCAAAAGTTATTATTTTTTTTTACCTAAACCTTAGATAATGTTAAAAACAGACGTAATTTTAGTTTATATATCGAAATTAATGAAGCAGTAAAAAAATTGAGAATTATTTTTGATGAGTGCCTCAAATAAATACGTCAAGTAAACCAAGTTACTAAGAGCAAACAAATCCTCGATTATCAAACTTAGGGCCGATTTCACCAACATTAATATTATGGACCAATGGGAAAATACCGTATCGAAATGCAATTTGACAGAAGCTGTCAAAGGTCTCTGAATATTAGTGATTTTTATTGAAATATTGAATAAAATCGTGAATATTCGACTGTATTATAAACAAGACCACTTTTTGATTCCAACATGATGCTTTTGTACAGAAAAAACAGGTCAACTTTCATGTATTTTGATATATGTTATAGGTTTACATTTAACAATCCGTTATCCCCCTCAGCGAATGGGAATGCGGCAAATAATGGGTCGATTTTCTAGCTGTTAAATTTGGCAGCAGATTTGGACGTTTTTGCATGGCACTCTCGAATTTACCGACTTCAATATACTGAAAGTTATCATTACATACCTGTTGAATAGTGTGGATTTGTCTGTATTTTGCAAGAAAATAGAATATAAAATACATTCCATCCAATTCCTCATCTTTACGTCATAATAGTAATCATTTATTAATTTATGGGTTAATGAATTTCTTCAAAGCAATACAAACATTATGTCCTCTCCATATTAAAACACAGATAATATGTGTAAGACGTGTCAATCCCTACATCTCCCTGATGTATAATGCAATTACTATGGACCTAGACAAAAAATTATGAAAAATGCTTCACAAATAACGTCTTTTAAGTCCAAAAATCGTCAAAACTAGTAATGTTTATTGTTTGTGTTTTTGACTGGCGGCCGTTGACTGGCGGGTGGCGGGGATATCTATCTGTCACTCGAGGCTTGCCAAGTCTAACGAAGATCACGTCCCGTGGTGGAGGGTGCGAAATGAATCTTTTACATTTGCTGGTTTTGCATTTTTTTCGTGAAAATTTACTAGGTATCATGATTATACGAATCTGTGGTAGATTGTTCGATCCGGAATGGGAAAGATCTCCTATTCATGAAAATATTTTTGGTATCATCTAACCGTTGCAATCAGCGCACAGACACTGTGACATATGATTTATAGCATAATCCGCTGCCCTATCAATACAAATTTAACATACAGGTCGCCTAGCTGTGGGGATGCAGTGGTCGGGATGAATATCACTGCAGCAACTGATGATTTGGGCATGTCTGGTAAGAACGTCTCAAGTGAAACTCGCTAACTTCACAAATTTGTACGTAAGATTTTGTACAATTTCTTTGAAAATGATGAAAGATATGTCTGACTTGGCAGGGTAATGTCGCAGCCAAATGGCACTCTTTCTGACACAGTCCGGATCGAAAGATGACGATACTCGTGAAATGTATTGATACTTCTAAATATAGGAACCTATCGAACATCCCTACTGTCAAGATGTGTAACCCAAGGTACCGACGGAGCTATTTTGCGGCGTCATAGAAATAATTTTAAATTTTCATTTTGATTTTTTCAAGTGTTGTGCAATGATTTTGGGAAAAATGTCACGAATAGTCTTATAAAGCATAGTAGAGTATATTTCAACAGCTGGCGGAACTTACTCCACTGGGACCAGGAGGGTGAAACGGGATATTAATGCACAATCTGGCAACCCTGTCCCACCCTCACGAAATGACCGCTGACAACCACACAAGACACCGTGTTGTGATTGAATAGCATGGAGTTAAACCTTCAGAGTATACAGGGTGACTTTGAAGTTGAGTCTTTAATTTTCAGATAATGATTGTAGAAGGAAGATAAACCAAAATATGTATGTAAAAATAAAAAAAAAATAAAAAAAAAAAATGTATCCTCCCGACAAGTATTTCAGTGCGGACCTGTATTTGATCGTGCGGTCTTGGAGCACCGGCATGCTCTCCCCTGTGAGGTCTTAAGTCACCTGATTCACGAGCCCTTTGTACTACATTAACAAAGGCACGAGGGGTTGGTTGCACTCGATTGGGAAACCGATCCGCATAAATCCGTGATGCCGCGTAAATAAGAATCATGTACACAATTTCAGCATTTTCGTAAACATGTGCCATTTTTGATTTCGTTTGAGCCACGCAACAGACACCACTATTCACTCACGCGTTACCGACTGACACTGACTATACAACTGAATAAAATAATTGTAAAAACATCGTTCCAAATTCTTTCGCTTTTTTGTTTCCGATGCGATGAACCGATAAGGCGGATTATATCCGTTGTTGCCAAACACGAGCACATAATATTATTATTGAGACAGGGCGGTACTCAAACTTCCAAAGGGCTATAACTTTGTTACTTTAATTTTACCAGAAAAATGGTAAAGGAAAAAACATTTCTTTTGATCAGATCTACTCACTGTTAAAATAAATGACTCAACTTCGAAGTATATGTTTTGTGACTGGTACCAAGAGTTGACAGATCCCACACATGTATCACTCCATGAAATGCAATAATCAGCTGTATTCAAATAATGTCTAATATAAATATAACCTAGAATGTGTACTCGTGAAAAAAGAAAAATATCGCAAATTTGTAGTTTTTTTGCATGTTTTATAGGTTTGCTGGTATCTTTAAGACATATATTTGGGAATTTCTTAATCGCTGTGAATATAGTGTGGATGTTTGTTCAGTTCCTGAACAACGAAAAATATTCAACTTTATGGATGTATGGATATCAAAAAACCTGAATGGTTTTGTGAGAATATCAATCTAAGGTGCCATAATGGTTCTGGTGAACGGCAAGTAAATGAATGAATGTTTGGAAACGAGCAATACCTTTTTGTAGAGCCTGTCATCAAGTAGGTACTTAATGGCTATCTGCAAGAGGTTTATAGGAAAAAACACCCAGTATCACATATCAATTGAGGAAAATAATATAAACATGAATAAAAAATCAACAATATTAAATAAAAACATGAATTTTATTCAAAAATCGAGCACTTTTTTAAATTTTGACTAAATTATATGTAATTTCTTAATATTCAATAAGCTGGTAATGTGTCAATGACAAGTTGTCATCTCATACTTTGGCAGCATTTTGTTTTCAACATTTCATAGCTATTGGTTGCTAAAATTTGTTGATTGGAACTTGAAGCTCATTCGCTGTATCTGACGGTCTGTTACCCTATAGGTGGAGAATAACGGACTGTTGTTGGTGAAATTGGGCCTTAGAGAATCATATGCGAATTATTTATTACTTGAAAAATTACTTTTTCTGATAGTTTACGATCTATCTTTCGATACAATATATCTTTCACAAAAAATTCATGTTGCAGATCAATAAATAGTTTGAGAAAATATGACCATATAAGCGATTCTTTGAGAGACTTGGGATGGTTGAAGGTGAGAGACCTACATGACTTACATTCATAAGGTATTGCTGACTTCGATACCCTCCTGTTTAAAGAACAAGCTGATACTTCGAGGCATACGGTTTACTGAGACACTCACAATGCCTCTTCACCAACCCTCATTCTTTCATAAGTACTCTACATACAACGCGATATCACTGTATGATGTTCATTACCTAATTTATATGTTTATAATTGTTATTGTAGTACTTCTCAAGGGTTAAGTGGCAGAATAGCTTCGCCCTCAATGAAAGACCTTTATTATTATATTTATTATTATATAGTACGAAATGTCTATTGTATGAATTGGGTTGGTTTTACATAAAACTTTGGGCATTTGAATGAGGTGGTCAGTAGATGTCAATCCAAAATTCTTTAAGCCGAATGTAATCGGAACCTTGTAAAACATTAAACATGTGGTGTGAAATTTAAAAAAACTTAGTGTCTTACGAAAAAAAGAAAACGTTCGACTACGCTAGAAATCTTAAATCTTAATCTCTAAAACATACAAAACAAAAATTCCCAAGTAGAACCGAACGGGTTTATCAGGGATCTTAAGACGCAGTAAAACTGTAAAATAAAAATGCAATTAGAACCAATCGGTTTTTAAATAAACCTTAAGGCTATAATAAATTCATCTCCAGCATAAAAGGGTCCATACTGAAAGCGGTCAATAAAGCCAAAAGAAACTTGCACAAAACTTTATTATCTTGAGCAACTGGTTTTAAAAGTGCTGTGGAGGTTCTTAAATGTCTTTAATACATTTTAAATACATGCAGTTTTAAAGTAAACTTGAAAGTGTTTGTTGAATATATAATTTTGATTCAACCGTTACGCGTAGGTTGCTTGAGTTAACAGTCCATATTTGTGGTAAGTCATGTCACTTCAGTTGCGCGGCAATATCAGCTTGTTGAAAAGCAGAGTCTTGCGAAGTAAATATCTAAGCCTCTACTCAAATTAATCAGAAGCTCAAGCTGCAGCAGTAATTCCTCGGAAATTTGTAATAATCTCTCTGCTTTCATCAAATACAGAACTGCTATTTGTTAAACGTTCTACATGCCCATATCTTCAGTTACATAAGCGCCTCCCGTCCTACTTTCCAGCCCCCAGTAAAGATAAATACGACAATAAATCTAGAGTGCGCGACGTGTGCCCGACCCTACGGTGTTAAAGAGCAAAAGAGATTCGAAACTTTGCTAAAATATAACCCCGGCCCCCCCTTCCCATCCCTGAATCCATCATCCGAGCAAAGTTGAAGTTACAACAAGCGCCAACTTCATAGGAAGCTAAGCTTCCCATCCGTCGTACAGGAATGGAGTTACTCGAAATTAGGCTGATTTGATATAAACTGGGGTCTAAGAGAGGTTGAATATGCGAATCAAAAATCAATTAGATCAAACAAAATCGGCGGCATAGTTGCAAAAAATATGCCCGATTGGACTTTTTTAAAATAATCTTTGTAATGGGGACTTCCGAATAAGGATCAGTTTGTCGCCCACGCGAAAAGTGGCCAGGCTTTAAAATTAACAGTTAATTAGTGACAAAACAATATTTTCTCCTGTATTTTTTAAACTTTTTTGATACCGCAAAAAAATCATGTTTAATTTTTCTCTAAGTTTCTCAATTTTGAATTACTATTAAAGAAAATCTCATTCATTGCATGTTTTGAAATACCGATTAGTTTAGAAAAAAAAAACTGACTGGCGCAAGGTTTGGTTTTTGTTGTTTATTAATTAAGAAAAAGTCTAACCATTTTTCGCCAGGGAAGCATATTGGCTACTAAAAAACGGTAGAGTATTCTTTGTAGTTTTCACTCTATCTAATATGCGGTAGCTATATATTTAACAGTTGAAGAATGTGTTTTAAAAGTAAATTTGCTGAGATTACGAAATATAATAATGGAGGCTATTGACAACTTCAAATAAGAGTTTTTTATACTTGAGGATGCAATTTTTACCATTTTCTACTTTCGATAAACCTTATCAAAGGTTGATGGATATAATCGTGGTATGCTACAGCTGTAAGGAAAAGCTAAATCGTATCTTAATTCTATTGATTAATTGAAAGTCCATGTGACCACGTGACCATGACCAACCGCATACAACGCTGTTTCATGCTTTTTAGCGTCCATCAGTGTATTGGCCGAGTCTTGGAGACAATTCAGCATGTATCTATTTATGAATTTTTGCATAGAATGCCATTGCTGGTAACTCTGAGGATACCTCGTATTCCGACTGGTCGACAGGTGATCAATTTATTGGTGGTGGGAGACATATATCAGTACATAGTTATAAGCCAGAGGGCTGAAGATGTATCGAACTTTGGCAAACCATTTGTGGCGCTTGCCACGAGGCATGTCACTACTTCCCGCACAGTATAAACCAGACACTGCCATTTGAATACCCTTAATACTTACCAACTGTTGATCAAGTGATTTGCAAAATACATTTGCCGACTATTTCGGATTTTTATGAATTCAGCTTAAGACACAACCCCCTGGAATATTTTCAGTTATGTAGAAGTCCCGGTTTTGTTATGAGGTGAAGGTCATCAAAGTTATACTAAGGAAAACGTTTTGTATCAAGAATAGGCGACATTGTATGGGGTTGTCGAAAACGGACGCAGGAAAGTAAACGCATATTAAAACAAGAAATATTGAAAATATTGAAGGTTCATTTATACCATTTATGTATGAAAAAGAATATCGCTCAAATGTTCACCACGACTGGATTTACAGACGTCCACGCGATGGTCGAAATTTTCAATGACATTTTGCAACATGGTCGGTTCTATGGCATTTATCTCGGCAATGATGTTGTTTTTGAGTTCTTGGAGGGTGGCTGGTTTGTTGACGTAGACTTTGCTTTTCAAATATCTCCATAAAAAGAAGTCCAAGGGAGTCAAATTGCACGGTCTTGTGGCCATGGCACATTTCCTCTGCGCGAAATCACGCGATCACTGAAGAAGGACTGCAATCGATGGATATTGACGTTGGTTGTGTGGCATGTTGCACCGTCTTGTTGGAAATAAACATCGTCCATATCCATTCCTTCAAGTTGCGGCAAAAAATAGTCCGCTATCATCACGTGATATCGCTCAGAATTGACGGTAACGGCGTCCCCGGCCGCATTTTCGAAAAAGTAAGGTCCGATGATGCCTTTTGACCGCAATGCACACCACACAGTCACTTTTTGAGGATGCATCGGCTGCTCTGGATACTCACGGGGATTTTCGTTCGCCCAGATGCGGCAGTTTTGCTTGTTTACCGTCCCATTCAAAGTGAAATGCGCTTCGTCGCTGAACATGATTTTTGATGAAAAATTGGCATCAATTTGGCGGTGTTCAAGGAGCCAATCTGAGAACGTTCGGCGCGAAAAATGGTCGGCCCGACGCAGCTCTTGCGTCAATTGGATCTTGTAGGCGTGTACATTCAAATCCTTGTGGAGAATGCGGAGCAAACTGGTTCTCGAAATGCCCAATTCTTGGGATCGACGCGTTGTTGATTGTTTCGGATCATCTCTCACACTCTCTTTCACAACAGCAATATTTCCCGGTGTGCGAACGCTCCTTGGCCGGCCTGGCAGATTTGCCACAGAATCTGTGGCCTCGAATTTACGCACCAGACGACCGATGGTTGTTTCGTTTGGGCGGTTGTTGCGACCGGAGGTTCACGAAGCGCGCGAAACGTGTTTTCTTTCTTTGCACCATTTTTGTAGTGCTCTTGAATAACTTTAATGCGTCTTCAATCGAATACGACTCCATAGAGATCAATGGTAAACATTCAACTAACAAAATTACATGTCGGTGACAGAAAACAAAGATGGCGTCTATGTCAAATTGACGTTTACTTTCCTGCGTCCCTTATAATACTAATGTTTTCTTTCATTTAAAATCCTTTCCTGTTGCATTTCTGCGTAGCTACTATTTCTTCTCTACAAAACAAGGTAAAGTTTTCCATGCAACGTTTTGCTTTTTGGACGATATTTAAATGCTCTTTTCAGCATCATTAGTATGTAACAATGTAACACAGGAAATGAGCTTTGCCAGGGTTTATACGCCTTTAAATATGTTTTTCACTTCGCTCCTAAATAACTAGAAACATGAAAAATGGTAAAGAACCAAGAATGGTCTACATTTAAAATGTTGACCTTTAAGAACATTAAATACGCTCATAAATCATCAGACTGTTACAAACACAAAGAAATTAGTACTAGAACATTTTCGTTTTTTGCTCATAACTCCGCTGCCGCTGTGAAATTAATACCATTACCTATTGAAACCGCAGCATCAAAATCGGTGTAGCATATTGCGGGTTAAGTGGAAGAGCAGCTACAGCTGAACTTCGCCCGTATTTGGCTATTTTTTATATATTCAGTCTATTTGAAAATAAAGACGTTTATTATTATTATATAGAGACTACGAGTATAGAAGGATGACAATATAGAAGACAGAATTCGATAATTTCAGCGAACTTAATACGTGGAATAGCCGAAACGTTATTTAAGACCTAGTTTAGACATTTTATGTGATAGTAAAATGGCAGTTTAACTTCACGAGGTCTAGCATCCTCAAGGTAGGGATGATAATCAAATCAGTTACATTGAAAAAAGAGCATGTTTGCTTTCTGCCTCCTGTAACCATGACCAACCGCAGACAACGCTGTCTTGTGCTCGTTAGCAACTCATCAGTGTGGTACAGGTCTCAAGTCTAGTCATGGATACAGACAAAGCACAAAGGAAAGAAGTGAATGTGATCTTTTGAAAAACTGCTTAAGTAGATGGAAATTTTTTAATCGCCACCTACCAATGGTTTTGCAAAGCTGATTTTCATCTTCATCTCGTATGATGAAGACGATAGAGATACCCTTACGCTGTTTCGGTCATACCGCTCGAATTATACGCTAAGGAGATGTAGAACCGAACCATCACCTTAACCTGTTTATACAGCCTGGTACAGTTGAAAAGCTCTTGTCTAAGGGTAATATCCTGTGTATCGGCTGTAAATGCAGATAGCCATTTATAGCTAATATCCCTCAATACTCCATAACCATATACACGTATGTCTGAGTACGCTTCTGCACAAATGCCTTTGTCTTGACGTATTAAGCTGAGAACAAATGGATTGCCATCACACAAAACTTCTATTCTGCACTCGGCTCTGATCTCGCTGTATTAGTAACTCCACTTCAAGTTGGATTGTATCGCTAATAACTTTGCATAATCTGCTCTCGACTAAGCGAGTTCTTCGAGAGTTTTGGAATAGCTGCGATGTGGCTGACGAAAATGACAAACTCCCAAAGTTGCATGCTGTTCATTATGGTTCTATAGTTTCATATGTTCGTCTTCCTTTTAACTATGGCGTTTTAGGGAACTTGATTAAATTAATAAAGTGCATATTTTGCTCAGTACAAAGTGCTGTCTTTATTACTAAATAGATCAAAATTTATAATATGAAAAACTCTACTTCTTATTTTAATATTAAAGTAACCAAGTACGCAAAAACGTAGATAACGAGGCACTGCGCCTGCAATATACAGCGACGATAATTATTCGGGATCCATCAATTCTTGGCAACTGGATGATTTGATAACAATTTTTGCCTTGTTTTTCATTGAAGACCAAACGAAAGTACTTACAGCAGACATTATTTTCGGATTATAAAAATGGTGGTAAAAAAGGACGTAAACGTGAAATTGGCATGATATTTGCAGATTTTTTAGCAAATTTTACAAGCTGTATTTGCCGTTAAAGCGATGTACAGAAATTCTCTTTAAAGATAATCATTATTGGCATGACGCATTAAAGTTTAACACACTGATCGTTCCATATCAAAATTACTTAGTTTTATAAATTAACATTTTATCCAGGATCTCCTGGTGCTCCAAAAACGTGAATCTAGATCGACCACCTAGTAGAAGTAGGCAGCTGGGCAGCTAGTTAATAAGACGGTTGACATTTTTGATGATTTGATGGCGCACCGTTACCAAGCTCAACATAAGAGGGATGTCTTTTAGGTTTTGCATATGGAAATAAAACAATACGGTAGGTAGTTTTAAATGACTTTATTATTTTTCGAAGTATTCTCCACGAAGATTAATACACATCTGCATGCGCTCGAACCAATTTTCGAAGCACTTATTCCACTCGTTTGCTGGCAGATCCAAAACGGCATTTTTGAATGCGTCAACTGCTTCTTCTGGTAACTGGAACCTTTAACCAGGCAGTCTGTTTTTAATTTTCGGGAAAGTAAAGACATTGTTAGGACTTAGATCTGGACTATATGGAGGATGGTCCACGTTTTCTTCCGTTAAATACTGTCTTGTTTTTTGGGCTGTGTGCGAGCTTGCATTGTCTTGGTGGAGGGTGATTCTTCTTTCGGAGTTGATTTTTCGAAGCTTGGTGGTGACTTTTGGCAAACAAATGGTGGCATACCAATCCGCAGTAATAGTTCTTTGCTCATTAAGAGGAATTGTTGCAATATGACCCGCTTTTGACACAAATGTCGCGACCATCTTTTTCGAAACACTTCGAGAACGGATGACTGTTGTTGGCTTTTCTTCACACCCAAACAGCTGACTGTCGTTTATTTTCTGGTTCATAACAGTAAAGTTAAGTAAGTAGTAGTAACACTAACAATGCTGTACACATTTTTTGAGTTCCCGGAATTGAAACGGTCAAGCGTTTTTTGACACAAATTAACCCTGGCTGCTTTCTGCTCTTCAGTCAACAGGTCAACGAGAAACTAATTTTCTTACTCCTAATTCTTCATGTAAAATTTTTAGAATTGAGGTATTTGAGACCTTCAAGGACGCCTCAATCTCGCGATATGTCACATGTCTATCTTCAATGATGAGTTTGCGCACAGCATCGGCGTTTTCCTGGGTGACTGCCGTTTTTGGTTCACCCACCCTGGGATCGTCGTTAAGACTCACCCGTCCACGTTCGAGTTCTTCATACCAACGGGAAATTGTCGACTGATGTGGCGCTTCGTTGCCGAAAACAGACAGTCACTCAGCAAAGCATTCTTGTTGCGATAATTATCTATGAAAGTTGTAATAAATTATGGCGCGAAAATGTTCTCGGTTGAGTTCCATTTTTCTAAGGACTTGGTGACACTTAAAAATTCACTATAGTGAGAACGCTGCACGTATTCTTGTGAAACTTTAAATTTAAGTTTACTAAAGAGTGAGGTTTAGATTCAGTACTGACATTCGATCCGCGCGGCCTACTATGTTTCTATATGCAAAACTTAAAAGACATCCCTCGTATAGCTTAAAATTTATAAAAAATACTTATTCATGCTCATATGAGTTTACAGTTTCTGCTACGCCTTTTGGTCTACTTTCCCTGTTTTTCATCAAATATGTGTACATATTTTCCCCCTCTGCCTCCATTTGCCAAAAATGTATCGTAGAACGCATTCTGTTTATTGACACAACAAACATAATAGTTTACCTTTGAAGTTATGTTTTCTGAATAAGTTTCACAAGCTGTGGTGCTAAATATATTCACTACTACCATACTGGGTTATGTTGCTTATTTTTGCTTCATTGCGGCAGTTATCCATTTACTTATTTTCTTTAATTTCCTTGTTGCTGTAGCAAAAGTGTATAATGTTTACAGCGCAGCATGTATTGTGACCCATTTCGAGAATAATGAAAGTTTTTACATGAAAATATTTAACAATTATAGCAAATTTGGCGGCCTCCACCACCCGCTTCGTACATAGCAAATAGTTGAACAAAATCAGAGTATAATACCTACAATTGTAACATTCGAAGACTTGGCAATGTTGCGCATTATCATCGAGCCATGTCAGTAGTCAAGAGCTGCATTTCAAACTTTAAACGGATATAAGTATCAGCAGGAATTGCTTAGTTCATTCAAAATTTCATAATCCTCATGAAAATACATTCAAAGCCACCAAAATTGTCAGTGCGTTATAATAAATCAAACAAAAACCAATCATGTGATAAACTTTTTCAGATATTTCTTATTTGGAAGTCTCTTCAATTCGAAGTTTTTGGTGTATCATTCGACGTTACCTTTAAACGTCAGAGCTTCTGCATCATTCGTTGTGTTGTGTGATGAAAATATTTCAGCATCTGAACAGAGAACAAACCTTCATTTGATGTAATTTTAATGACATTATTGTTGGTCTTTATACCAGTATTTCTGAGAGAGGTTCTACCCATCGCCCCAATTGAAATAAATGTCTGTGAACCTTGAAGTACTGCAAATAAAATGTAGTGTCCGTTTTTGCTGCTTTTTGCCGAGTTTTCAGAAATAGAATCTTAAATTCTGATAGGTAGTTCGAATTTGCCCTTTGAGTGATATTAAAATTCCATTCAAGACGGCTCCCTAGAAAGAGCGTTATCTCTGATTTAGTCTCAAAGACTGAATCTGTCCTTGGAGTGACTTTAAAATCCCCTTCAGATACCCTTATAGTGACCATTTGATTTGGACTTAGTGAACCAAAAAAGCTACGACTCTTCAGCTTCTTTTGAAAATGTCCTCGATATGACCTTCAAATGCCTTCTTAGAGACAAATTAACCCCAAATTTCAAATCGTCAAAGAACTCTATTGCATTTAAAATCGTTTAAATGCTGCAGAAATTTTTTGACAGATTTTCGGTGTTCTAAACCACTGTGCGAGGATGTCATCATGCGCAGAGTGAGGCATCACCAACAGATTTCCGCTACGGCTACGATACGATTCTCGTAGGATCTTGGAATGATACCGTATAGTGGGCAAAGACTTTAAGTGAGTATATATTTTCACCCCGTAGCCACTTTAAGGTTAATCCGGCTAAACGCATTCAGCGATGTTGTGTCGGTCTCCGGCTAAAAGCAGCAGCAGCAATTCCACATCCTGTGTGGCGTGGCGGTTCTCATTTGTCCGGCACTCCTTCCGGGCTCAGTCAGTTTAAAGCTCCGGCCGCCGCGGCCTCGACCCTCGGGCCGTTTTTAGAACAACTTACCAGGATCCTCATCCGGTGCACTATCCAATGGCGTACTTACCTAGTAGGACACTAAGTGCCGAATCGTCAGTTGTTTGTCTTTATGCCCTTGATATTCATGGCTTTCCTCTCCTTCAAAAAGACTTGGGTATTTCTAGATTTATACTATCCATGTTAGCGTCAGCGCTATCCTATTAAGACGATATGTTGTCTTTTTGCACTATAGGAAATTTGAGGCTGATATAACAGATGATATTTGCTACAAATCCACAGATATTTGTGACTTAACCTGAAAATAGAGAGAAAATCAAGGTGGCCATAAGGGCGTCCTACAATTGTAGGAACGACTGACGATACGGCCCTGAAACATCAACTATTTGATCGGGAATTATGAATAATCTATAACAAATGATGACCAAGACTTATTATTATCGTCGGGTTTATTGTTATACTAGCTTTTAGCTCGCGGTTTATTCTAGAAATGATTACTAGTAAGGTCCCTTCGGGCTTGGCCCGCAGGATGGAGATTACGGTAAGATTTTGAGTGCAGAATGAGATATAATAACCTGTTAACTCGTAGAAAACTTACTTTTGTTATTCTAAAAGTAATTTAAAAAAATTCAGAAAATCTCGAGACCGCACCTTAAGATATCGAATGTTATAAAAATCTGTTTTTTGAAAAGATCTCGCTTCGGTTCAATGCCATTTACATTTATTTATTATGAATATTGTAGAGAAGTACATATATGGGTATAGCCTTGCAGAAAATCAGGGGCTTACAGGGTAGATATGTAATACTAGGACGTCCACACCACATATGACTTTTTTGTTGGCACAATTCTTCTTTTGAGTTCTACGAATTTTTCTCAGTTTTGAGCAGTCAGAATCACCATGTAGTCCCCTTATTTTTTGTTAGTACCATAAGTTAACCTTTAGATATGGACTACGAAGGGGTCTCTATAACATGTATGAGCTTGTTGGTAGCACAATTCTGCAAATATTTATATAAGCATATATATTCTATGTTAGCATATATTTTTTAATGAAACATATCAATGATATATTGCAGTAATTAATAATATTTCTTAATGATTTATAGAATTAATTCGGCATATTATTTATCGGGACTAGCAATTGATCTTGCATTATGCTGCAAATAGCGAAGTGCTGCGCGCTCTCCGCCACCTAACTAGAAAATTGTTAATTGTACGAGAAACGTGTGAGACAAAAGGAAGCGACATCTTTGCAAAAATAGCGATTTTTGTGATATTTGACCGTTGTCTATTAAGACGCGGATACTAAATCTTATGAGACTTTTGAGACACCTTTTAGAATGGAGAATAAAAATGTTTCTACATGTTTATAGCTTATAATCTATTCTCATTCCTAGGATTGCCCCCTTTTATGGCGTACATAATTGGACTACTTATGAGGTAGTCAGTACTAAAGTAAGTTAGTACTGATTTTAAAATTCTAATTGTCCCCGATAGCACTAAATACATATTTAAAAAAAATGTTTGCTAAATATTTGTAGTCACAGATTTTTTAATATTCAATAAATATATTTCTTATATATTTATAAAATATTCATTATGCATATTTTTAGAATGTATAATTCATATATGTATTTTTCGATATTTTCTCCAAATATTTAGAAAATATATGAGGAAAGATTTTTAAATATCAATTTTATATTTTGATGAAATATTTAATATTTTTCATAAATATGTATCAATTTTCAAGCATCTGATACATATTTTCAATGTATATAGAAAATTCTCCATTGGTTATTTTAGCAAAAATAGGCCACTTATTGATTTTACTAAAATTACTTTTTTGAAGTAGTAAGGGGCTGGTTCAGCCAAAACTATTTTGTAATTTTATATTATAATATAAGGGAAAAAATATAGTATTTTCGAGTGTTAAAATTTTGGAACGCCGCTGTTAAACTTAAAAACTTTAAAATAGTTCCAGCTGATTTGCCCACTACTACGACAAGAATTATAATAATAATTGAGATATTTAAAAAAGCGTTTGTGATGTATCTCGAACAAGTTGCGATTATATGACTTTTCATTGGGATGTTGTGAATATAATCTTTGTATCCATGTTCAAATAAATCCACCAATCCCAAATCGCAAATAACTGTTACACTTCAAGGCTAGTTATTTGTGGTCTTGTAACTACCTTTATTCTCAACTGGCACAATAATGCTTACTAGTCAGATAAATTAAGCTACGTAATTATCGAAAGCTTACCCTTTTCCTTTTCCACAAAAAAACCCTCGAATGATGTACCACTTTGAGGTACATACATAGCATGCTGGTGAAACTCACAGGAAAAAGGAATGCCTTCATATGGGACGGGACGCACATGCGCCGTAGCCGGAAATATTTAATGAATGTTTTCTAAATAATGGAGATTTAATAATTATTGAAAAGTAAATATTTAAAGAAATATTGTATTGAAAATATTTAAAAGATATTGCATTTTCAAATATTTATTAAATATTTGTTTAATAAGATAACAAATATTTAAGTAAGATGAAAATATTATTAGATATCTTGCTATCGGGGATAGTACTTTATTCAGTCATATCTTAGTCCTCGTTTGAAAATATCTATCAAAAAACCAAACGCACTGACCACTCGTAATTACGGAGTTACATTTTTTTAAGGTGAAGGATATCAAAGTAGGTGCCCAAACTTACTTTGTTCACAATAGTTCTTTATCCCAATAAATAACAACGACAATGAACAAAGAACAAGAACTCAAACGTCCAAGGCCTATAAATCAATATACATATGTACCTGCAATCTGGAATATGAAGAATGCGCAGTTTTTTCTATACATACAGGGTGAGTTTTGGCGTGGGCTCGGTCGACTTTAGTAAATTACTTACAAAAATAGTGGCCTCCTTACTTGAAAAATATTTTGATCACTACAGGGTGATTCATAACTATGTAATGATCCAAAAATGCACTTCTTTGAATGAATAGCGTTACATTTTATAGCATATTTGCAAACCAGGCAATTTGATATAACATACTATAGCGTGCTATTTTCAAATTGTTGTGTTATAGCTACGGGTGGTCCCAGAAGTACCCGATCCAACGAAGAAAACACAAAATTTTAGTAATAAAATGTATTTACTTTTCAACAGAATCTCCTTTGAGCTCTATACACTTTTCCCAGCGATATTCAATAAGTTCGATACCCTTTCTATAATAAGAACTGTCTTGCTCCTCAAAATAGCCATTAACTGCCGGCATCACTTCTTCATCGTTGGAAAATCTTTGACCACTGAGCCATTTTTTCAAGTTCGGAAACAGAAAATAATTCGAGGGAGTCAAATCTGGTGAATAGGGTGCATGAGGTAGCAATTGAGACTCGGTGCATTGTCTTGATGAAACAACACTTCCTTCTTAACCAAATGCGGCCGTTTTTGCTTGATTTCATCGCTCAAACGTTGTAATAAGTTCGCATAATACTCGCCGTAGATAGGTTTACCTTTTTCAAGATAGTAAATGAAAAAATCCCACGCGGATCTCAAAAAACCGACGCCATAACCTTGCCTGCAGATGAAACGGTCTTCGCCTTCTTTGGATCCGGTTGTCCCTTTTGAGTCCATTGTTTTGATTGTTATTTTATCTCGGGTGTGAAGTGATGGACCCATGTTTCATCCATGGTTATGAAACGACGCAAAAATTCTGCTTTGTTACTGTGAAACTTCGCTAAACACTCAATTGAAACATCTTCACGACACTGTTTTTGCTCGATTGGGAGCAATCGCGACACCCATCTTGCACCCAGCTTTCTCATGTCCAAATTTTCAGATAATATGCGATGAACAGCACTTTTTGAAATGCCTACTATGACTGCTAGTCGACGATCATTCAGTACCGCTTTGTGAATTTTCTTCACCGTTTCTGGAGTCGTCATCTCATTTGGTCGGCCACTGCGATGCTCATCTTGGCAGCTCATACGACCTCGTTTAAACTCTGCTACCCATTATTTTACTGTTGTAAACGAAGGAGCTGACTCACCCAGAGTAGAATCCCTATCAGCTTTAATATTGGATCGGCGGAGGCCTTTGCAATAAAAGTATTGTACCACAAACTCACTGAAAACGTTCAGTATTGATGGCTGCAGAACAAATTCTAAACAGAGTGGCATCTTTCAACCTGACACATATGCGTTATAGGTTGCATGCTTTCTAATACAATTATATTTTTTAAACAACTATCGCCATCTCTAGGTCAGGCCGGGTACTTATGGGACCACCCTCTAGAGTAGGTACTGAATTTTTTGTTACAAAAATGTTATGATGATTTTGTAAAAAGTGGATAAGAAGGTCAGTGGTCAAGAACGCAAAATTAACGGTATCTAAAGAATTTTCAATTATCAAAACTGCAATGAAACGTAGTGTTTTCCATTTAAAAAACGTATGTTTAGGTCACCGCATAGTTATGAATCACCCTGTAGAGATAAAGATATCTTCCAAGTAAGGAGCATACTGTTGTCTACAATTTAAAATGAACTTTTCTAAATACTATGCACAATGAATTATCGACCGAACCTACACCTATACCTACACAAAAGCTTCACACAGCAGCAAGTCCGTAAGCTAGTACCGGGTATATGCATGCTTTACTTATTTGCAGTTTGACTTCTATATAAACATTCGAGCTAAAGCCAGTTTTTGAAGAAACGGTATGCTGCTCTATTCGCCTTCTTTCTCCAATAAGGCCTTCTGCGCCCACCGTTTTATTAACAACAGTTTAAGTGTAGTGTTACTTATCATTCTACGTTCTTACTGAAGTATTATTATCTACACACCCATTTTAATGAAGATGCTCCTTGTTTGTCCGCTACTGATGTTAGAATAGGAGGATAAAGTTACGCTAAGCAGCATCGTAGTGATGCGGTAGAAGGGAATTGTCGTTTTCCCTTGCGGTGGAGTTTACTGTTTCATGAGCTAATTACAAGGAGCTGCAGAGGCTACTGGAATAGAGTTGTTTGAAAATGAAACAACATATATGTGGTACAATAGAACAAAAATAGATCTGTAGTACACAGATTTGGGCAATCTGAGATTAGGAGTTAATTTTATTGAATCTAATGGAATGAATGATTATCAATCAGGGCTTGTGAGAAACAGGTAGTTCTTTCGGTGGCTGTGTTGTGCTGTATACATTTTTTGAAAATCAGTTTTTACGGAATCGTAATGGTGTTTTAGCCAGTTTTGTTGACTTCATGAGACATGTGCAGAAGTATCGCAGAGAATTCTTATGAAGTTACTTAAAAAAACGCCTAATTTAAAACACAAAATGTCATGGCCATTTAGATCGCTAAATTGGGTTTTATCAATGCGTTTTTCATTAAATATTATCTGTCCTTTCTAAGCTTCAGGATATCTTAACAATTAGCAAATGGGTTGTTATGATCTTTACGATACAACGAATCATCCTTGCATTTTGGGATGTTAAAAATTTGCAAATATTTCACATGATCAATCATTTCTTTGCAAATAGCAACTTGCAGGTTTTTCAAACACAGTTTTAATAGCTCTTGTTTCTGCTCATTACGTTAGTACGTCAGTTCTTGCATGAAAAGCTACTTTGAAGTTGTGTATTAAAAGCGTAAAAGTAAAAAATCCTTGAAATCGGGCTCCCAATTTCTCTCTCGAAGACGGAGCTTGGCAATGTATTAAAACAGAATTTTATCCATATTGAGTAAGATACTTAAAAGATGTGGAGTAACACGATTAGTTATGTGATAAAAAGTGACAAAGATTTTTGACTTTCAGGTTCAAATACAGATTTTCTTTAAAATAGTCCCCTGCTTCAGGTGTTTCTGTGGGAATCACGTCAAAGGTCGCTACGTCTTTCTTTAGGGTATTTTTTCTAACCATACAGCATTTCCGCAGCAAATTATAAATAAATTACATACAACCTTTTTTCCGGGCAGTTCTAGAAAATTCCAAGACCGTCAATAATCTAAATATATTAATATTTTTATAAAAGATGCGAAACATTTGCAAATTCTATTCTTTAGACAAGTTTCCATCGTTTTTCGTTATTGGCGACTAGTGCACTTGAAATGCTTATTGATGATTTTTTCGTGACTCAGAATATCTACAAAGAGTAAGAAATTCGCATTGACGAGCAGCTGTAAGGCCTCACCATTTCCATTGCTGGCTACTACTATTACATGGTAACCCATTTTTTTCTTGATAAGCCAACACCGTGGTTCTTGAAGTATGTCATAGTAGATAGTTCCCTTATCGTCTGCAAACACTGCTAAATAAAGTCGACGCAATTTCTGCATCACAGAATAGTGAGACGGGGGCTGCCGATATAGGTATGATAATGTCCTATAGAGATAGAAAGAAGGTACTACTACTACGTACGACAACACATCATTTGTCTCCCACTCATTTTCAAACATTACAATGTATCAAATAGTGGGACTTTCGAACTGTCAAAATAATGAGAGAAACAAGTTCAAATCAACAACAATAATTTCAGTTATAAAAGTGCATTAACTCGTAGTAAACAATAAGTGTAGGTGATATTCGAAAATGGATAAAGGATTGTATACGAGCCCCTTCCCACTTCAGTTGGCCCACTTCAAGATTTGTACCAAAATATGCCTTTATAAAATAAACATGACGAAACTATTTACTTCTATAACAATTTATTTTCTCAAAAACATTTTAGATACACTCTAGTCGTAAAAAATACATATTTGAAATCACTTAGACCTAAAACTAATACAACATCTGAACAAATAAACAATGTGCGAATAAATGCGCGAAGTTAACAAAGCAACAATTGAAAGATTACCATTGGGTAACATCACCTGTATTTTTTATTACGGCTGAAATTCTTTGGGGCATAGTGTTAGCCAAGTTTTGGCAAAAATTCGGTGTAAAACAATCCCATATTTCTTGAAGCTTTTGTCTCAGTTCGGTGATTGTACGAGCAGGATGTTGTCGTAGAACCTTTTTCATCTCGTGCCACAAAGTTTCAATAGGTGACAGATCTGGACTGCTAGAAACCCATTTCAAAAGTGGTACATTATTTTCTTCCATCCATTTTATAGCCTTTTTTGAGGTATAGCACGCTGCACCATCTTGCTGAAACACAACATCTTGGCCGGATGTCAAACATTCTTCACTGGTAGAAGCGATTCTTCTAAAATTGCCAAACATTTGTATGTATCCACATTTCCATCAATAACATGGAGTTTTCCTACTCCTTTTGATGACCTACTGCCCCAGACCATAATGGATGCTGAAATTTCACTTTTCTCTTCAGACAGTCAACATGGAATGCTTATTTTTTTTGCGAATAACTCTACTGCGACTGTCACCAACACAAACTTCGAATCGGGCCTCACTCCACTGTATTGCATACCATTGTTGAAGTGTTCATTGTGTATGTTCTTTAGCCCATCTATGCCGATTTTTCTATTGCAGTGGAGTTAATAGTGGCTTTTCTTTGGCCTATAAACAAGCTGTACAACTTTTTACGTTTTTACTTCACTATTTTTTATAAGAAAACTTACCTTGGAAGGGCAAAATCCCAGTTTGTGGACCTCTCTATGAGTTGTGGACCTCAAAATTCTCCTTCCAACAGCGTCACTCCACAGAACACTTAATTGTAAATAATTGGCACGCCTGTTTTTCATGATTATTCTTCTTAATGCTCTTCGGTCGGCATTTGTGATATTACTTTTTTTAACATATCGTGGCTTATTATTAACTGAACCAGTTACGTTATATCTTCTAACAATATTTCTCACACTGTACCGCGATAAGTCTAAAAAGTTGCAGTTTCTGAGTTTGATTTCCCAGAATTAAAAAATTTAATTATCAGTAACCGAATTTTCTCAGTAATAACCTTTCCTTACTCATTTTGAAAACCTTAACTACCCAAAACTATTTTAAACGTATTCAGACAGCTGTGATTAATAAAAACGATTGTCATGGCTTTTATTTTTCACACGCGTTATAGACTTATTTTGCATTGAAATGAAAATAGGTTGATATTTTGTAATTGCAACATGTGTTATTTTTATGCTGCAAATTGGATTAGGGATAGATAAAGTTGGTGTTTTCTACTATACATTATCAAAATATTCATTGTTAATATTTTAAACCTTTAACACCCTGCTACATTTTTATTATTTGTGTTTGATAAGAAAAAACTAAGATTTCAATAGTTGGGCCAACTGAAGTGGGAAGGGGCTCGTAGTACCTAGTAGTCTGATATGAAAATTTTATCCAAATCCGAGCAGTAATTTCCAAGTTATAGATGGACCAGGATTTGTGGGCAAACCCACGGAAATGAATGACCTGGTATTTCGTACACTAAACACGGTACCACGCGACAACGAACAAAAGCATCGCAACTCTGCCCTATAAAGAAAGACCCCCGTACCTCCACATGAACGAGTTTTGATAAAACCGCGGTTAAAGATTTTTGCTGTTTATGTTGTACTTTTACTTGAATAATAGAATAAGATCATTCATCATATAATTTATAATATCATAGCAATCATTTTTAAGAAAAAAAGATGCTAAACTAAGTCATAGCTATTAGTTATGCCATATATGGCTAAAAAAGCAACGCATTATGTTAAGAATAATTATTTAAAACCACGTATAATTTAAATTCGGCTGATGCTTGGTTTTATTTATGTAATTATGATGAAAATTTATATCTACGCCATTTTATATATTTTAATATCGTATTATTAATTATTACTAATATAACTTATTAAAAAAACACATGTATTGATTTAAAAATAACTTTGACTTAAAGAGCAAGCTTAGAAAAAATGAAAATTATGGTACGTATAGGCAACTTTGTGAGGAATATATCTTCTGTTAATTAATATGTACCACTCATTAAGAAAAACGACTGAGATATGACACATAATACACAACGTACATTTTCATAACAAAAACAAAAGCTTTCTGTTAATTCATCATCAAAATAATCATCAAAGATTTGAGACAAGTCTTAACAAAAATTAAATTTAGGAGACCTTTAATTATAAAAAAGGGAAACTTACAAAAGCAAAATATTTTTATGCTTGCCACTAACAACACTTTTATAAATACTAAGATAATTTTTAACTGATATATTAATGAAAAAAAAACCAATCACGCGGCAAAATGCTTGGAGAAAACCTGGCATAGAAAATACCTCCCATATCGATTTTCCTAAGTTAAAAGCCCGTATCTACTGAATACATACCAGTGTCTTTCTAAAAAAATGTAATATGTATAATACTAAGTGTAAATGCAATTTTTGGCTTTTACTGGGAAACTATTTTCCTTCATAAAACACTTAGAAATGTAAAATAGAGTGTTTTCTCTATATAGATATGTGGTATGAATCATGATTGTTCGTTTGGCGCAAATATCTCAATTTCTGAATTTTTTTGAGATACGGGGTTTTTTGTTAGTATGGCAGAACTATTCTCTATACCGGAGGTACGTTCTGCTGCGCAAAGCGCCATCTATCACCAGAATCGACCATTGAGGAGAGCATATAGCTGCTATTCTTTTGGAACTGTAAAGATCTCAATTCGCGGTAAATATCTCAGTTACCGTGTGACCGGTGGTTGGCTGATGATTCTGGTCTACTTGCCAGAGACGAGAGACCAAGCCTATACCATGCTGATGAGTAGCCAAGAAGCATGAAACAGCTGTCCAGGTTGGCTGCCTTCTGGTCGATGGACGAACGCGTGACGTTTAGTTTTACAATCGCAGGTAGACCCCATCTGCTATACAGCCAGAATCATCAGCCATCTACCGGTCATATGGTGACTGGACTATTACCATGAACTGAGATCTGTACAGTTTTAAAAAATAGCAGCTATATGCTCTCCTCAGTGGTCAATTCTGATAATAGATGGCGCTTTGCGCTGTCTTATTCCGATGTACATGTCAGAACATCAAAAAAAAAACATAATATTACATTTTCGAAAAATTTTGCGACTACAATACTTCCTCGCCTCGCCATGGGAAGTAAAAGGGTAACTTTCAAATGCTTCCCTTTCATACGACTCATAAATTCCCTATATTGCGACAGAATTAATAAACTTTTGGAAAGGGAAGTCGACACAGCAACAGCGATATATGTGCGGGCCATTTCGTCCGTCCTGATATCGCTCGGCTATAGAGATATTAAAGGCATAATTCTAAACTGTCCCATTGGCTAATGGAATCGGCAGATTTATACGTTATTGGTTATATCGATTGGAACCAGCGAAGGGAAGAATTTCATAAGCCGTTGCGGTCAGAAAAATAATCAAGTGTGCGGAATGGTAGAAGGGTCGAAGGATAGAAAGGGAATGATATGGTATAGAATAGTAGCTATCGGGTTTTTTCTTTATTGTTTCGATTCGCGTTGGCCGATATTTGCTCTTTCGTTCCATGGAAAATACAAGCCATTATGCTTTACCTAAAAGCCTTTGGGGATACTTCAAAAATATCATTATGAACTTGAATGTGTCCTTGTAAATTTTCACATGGATACATCGTTATGTTTTCTGCTCGCAACCGCTCTGTTGGAAACTATTCATTCCAAAAGATGGTGAATTCATAAATTGGAAAATTTTCTCTGATTCAGTTTGTCATGCAACTATTTTTCTCAAGAAAAAAACCGCGATTCAGTATGTTGTCACACATGGGACGTATTCCATACAAAATCCCTAAAATATCACATTATCTATCGAATTCCAAATTTAGGTCTTCATTTAGTATACATCTCATGTGCGATTGTGTGTGTGACGTATCAACGTCTCGGAATAGACATTTAGGAAAACACAAAAAAATGTTCTGGTAAAAACAAGGACGGGGGCGGACCTCGTACAAAGACGAGTATATGACATTTTAATAATAGTAATAATAATAGCATTTATTGCCCATCAGAATTTTTGTAATCTCATTTACAGAACAAATAATCGAAATCTGGCATAAAAAAACAACACTAATTTTTTCAAATTTAAGAGAATAAGCAAACAATAATACGTTATATACAGGCTGCCTTATGTAAATGCCTCAATAACTGGCAGTTCTTCACTTAAGTTGACTGTCTTTTGCTTTAGAATTGATCCGGAAATTGGTATTTCACGTTTTCGATTCTGTCTAAACAACAGATATAAAGCATCATGCACTTTTTGGTATGTCCCATTTTTCATAGTTTTCCATGATGGCTGCGATGATGTGAGGACACTAGACCACTTTTCAATATTCTCGCGTTGTTTTTTCCATTCTGAAATGGTACTCACGCCCACACCCAAATCACTTGCCACGTTTTTAAGCAAATCACCTCTATCTAAACGTCTGATTGACTTAAGTTTCTGTTCTATGGTAATAACAACGCGTTTACGTTTATTCTATGCTGCTGCATCTTAGCGCTTATGAACCTGACTGAAACAAACATACAAGCGCACATACCAGTGAATTCCGTAAACGCGCTTGGGAAATCACCGGCAGTGAATCTAATGACGCAAACGCCGAAAGGGGAACTACCGGATCATGCGTCGATTTCCCGAACAACTTCGGTTGAAACGGAGAAATTATCGTATGCGATCTGTTTCGGATAATCGGGGTTCTACTGTATGTGTCATTGCTAAGAATAAAGTTTTGATCGATGATTGACGATCATTTCAAGGGGTCCGCTTTTGAACCTATTCTGGAAATCAGCGGTATGTAAGGGTTTGTTAATTAATGTTTTTAATCATACTTTTCATCTACCGATTATGAACGAGGACAAGTTACAAGCTTCCTTAAACAGAACACATTTTTAGAAATTTGCCATATGTATACCTTTAACCAATAACAAAATTCGTCCGTCCGGTTTGAGTTGCTATCCTCTGCATATTTTCAGTGTAACCTAACGGTGCCTATACCCTGCAGCCAAGAATTTCCCCTACTATAGTTGTTTAGCTAACATCTCATCGAAGTCTTCTCAGTCGCCTCGCATATGCAACTTTCCTTAAGTAGACACGTCAAATCTGTCTGTTCTCATAGCCTCTCGCTACTGGTGGATGGAGGAAGGTACCTGGCTCATTTGCGTACGTATACAGATCCACAGTTAATTACAGGCCCATAAGCCCGCTTAATTAGTTGAGAGAGTACGTGCTCGAACATC